TGAAATATACAGAAAAGCCTATTCTCAAGGCTCTGTCTTTTAAGGATATTGATACTTTTGTACTATATAAACATAACAAGTTGCAGAATAGAAACTTAACTTTTGTTTTGTTGGAGGTTTACACGAACAAAGGATTCCTAAACCAAGAAGTCTGCACCAACCAACCCCCCCCCTTAAGTGTAAAAGCAGCCCGAAGTCTGACTTGGGGAAGTGGATGTTAGTCTGCCATCCTCTCCAGTCTGCAGCTTTCCAAATAAAGTCGCTATTCCTTGCCCCAACATCTTGTCTCCTGATTTACTGGCCTGTTGTGCAGCGAGCAGAACGAGTTTGGACTTGGTAACACATTAACAGTCCTATTCCCTCAGTCACAGAGGTTCAGAATCTCAGTCTTCTTGGTCTCCTTTCTCTCCTCAGCTCTATTAGTCATCACCACAACCTACGGATTCTTCTTCCTTAATGTTTCTCCCATCCCTTACAGTTACACACAAGCACTGCAGCAGTGGAACTAATTTTAAAGTAATTTGTGGTATACAAGAACTTCCAAAAAGGAAATAAAAACTAGAAAATTTCCCAACTCTTCTGTCAGTTCTTCACACTACACAGTGTGAAGTTAATTTCAAGATCAAGATCAGAATAACTCATCCTCAAAGGAAAACTGCATCACAACCACTGTCTATCTAGGGCTTCCCCGGGAAGCCGACTCTGAGATAGTTGATTAAACTACAAGAGGTTTTATACAGATTTTCTGCATTTTTTAATAGATGATCACTTTATTGAATTTGTTTATTATTTCCAATTGCTTTTCAGTTGATTTTCTTGTGTTTTTTTGAGGAATGCAATGACAAGATCCATAGATAATAAGAAACATGCTTTCTTATTTAGAACATTAATGCCTTTTACTTTTTAGCTATTTTATTTAGCATGTTTATACTGTGTGAGACTTTAATCAGAATGCTTGTTACACCAATAAGCAGGATACAAGTTATTGGTTTTTATGTATGTGTATACTACTAATTTTATTGAATTTTTTAAAAATCAGGATATTATGTTTTCTGGAAACCTCTCATGATCAAATAATTTCCCCTTTGATTCATTAGTATGAAAAAATATAGTATTAGATGTCCTAAAAGAAAAAAAGTGCAAGAGGTTTTGCAGGGACTGTGCCCGGGACCAGCATCTGGAGAAGGGGAGGGACTAAAAGGAGGCAGGACTGGGGAGAGGGAGGAGGGGCCACAATGCAGGCTCAGGACAGGTCCATGGGGCACTCGGAAGCAGCACTGACCCCTGAGAATTGTCCTGAGTTGAGGGGGAGGGGTGCCCCCGGGACAGGGTGACTCTAGCTGGTGCAGTCCCCGAAGGGGCTGGCTCACAGGGCAGTACTCTCAGCAGCTTCAGGGAACAAGTCTTCATCCCTGATTGGCAGTTCATGGACAGCACAGCACAGCATCCCCACAACACCCCACTGTGGAATGAACTGCAGGGGGCTCGGCCCCAACCAACCAGGACCCTTGATTATTGAGAGTCCCTGATTTTCGTGACTTCAGGATAAATCAGTCATCGGGATTGACTATTGTGTCAGCCCAGCAACCGGAGGAAACACTGTGCTTCCTTTTACCATGGCCTGACACACCATCTTACCTCCCAACACTCACAAAGACTAAAGACCAAATACGTGTGTGTCTGTGCAGGGAATGGATTTAGTTTTATCTGACACCAAGCAAGGAAGAAAGTGAAAAAACAGCTCTGAGTCTCCAATCCAAATAAATCTAGTAGACTGATGACAAATTGAAGGGCAAGCATTTCAGCAATTTACAACAGCTACTCAGATTTGAAGTGCAGGAAATCCCATTCACAGAAATAATTTTTTAATGTTGCTCTTCATAGAGTCAAAGCTTTGAGCAGTTTCTCACTTGAGAGAAACTGAAGGGGACTGGACTGCATGCCTGAGTCCTACTGCTCTGACACGTGACTGTGTCCATCACAGACCCAGGAGAGACAGAGCCAGAAACAGAAGCCACACTTCAAAACTAACGTAGAGGCAGAGAGGCCCCACTCATGCCTAATTCTTGCTGGATTCAGCGAGTGACTCAAAGGATGTGCACAGAGATCCAACTTAAGGCCCCCTTCCTTGCCCCATGCATCCTTATTAAAAGGTTGACTTCAAGTACTTGACTTTTTTCAACTTGGTGTTGTCCTGCAATTCAAATCCTTTAGTTGTTACTATTTCTGACACAAATTAAGCTAGAAATGCAATATGGTTATGGTGAAACACTGCCCTGCCCCAGAAATTTCTAAGACTAGAACTGCTAGAAATAGCCCAGAAACAGTCCCCCTACTTACCCAGTTCTGCTAGAAAATGGATCTGTGTTAAGATCAAACTTTTCTTGGCAGGAAGTTCTTGGAGGCCCTTGTAAGATAATGATGAAATAATGAGACCTAACATATATTTATTTGTGTTTATGTGGCAGGGGAAAAAAATGAATCCTAGGAAGATCTAGACCCCATTGATTTAGAAAGTCCTCCTTTATCTACATATTGTTCCAACTGGAGAAAGCAGATAAAGCAAAGGATGTGAAGGCAAGGAGGGAGAAATGTCTTGATCCTTCAGCCCTAACCTTACAGGAAGCATCTGCTCTGATAACAATGACTCACAGCCCCTGATAACAAAGTTAACATTCTCCTTTGAAAGAGGGAAAATGCTCCAGGCAATAGTATTTTCAATAAAACTATGTCAACTGAGTCCAAAACAGCCCCTGAAAGTAGCACATTTCCTTTCTGTTTTTCAAAGATCCATTCTGCTCCCAGGATAGGGTTGTCTGACCCAATCTTGAGCACTTTAGCCTTCCCAAAAGCATATGACCAATTTTCCTCCCAAAGGGAAAATCTAAGAATAAAGTTTAAAAACCAAGTCACAATAACATGCACCTCAGTGTTCATACTATTTGTTTATAGAAAACAAAAAAGGAGACTGATAAAGGAGACTACAGAAGAGACAATGTAGGAGAAATTCTAGAATAAGAGTATGCAAATGCCCAAGCAAAGCCCAAATATCTATCAAAATCATCCTTGTTATTCTGGACCTCTGCCCTGGAGGAAAACTGCCACACTACCAGAGCCAAAGTGATCATTCTTAATGAACAGTGAATGTGGAACTACCTTAAGTGCTGTCTGCTGTGACTTAGTATTTCAACATTTTCTTAGCTATTATCATAAAAGCAAAATTCATTCATTTTCAGAATAAACAGTTCAATAATAAAAGTACAGATCCACCCCCACATAAGATGGAAACGACACTTCTGGCATCTTCTTCAACGTTACTATTACTTACAATATTAACAGCTATTGTTTACAGTGTGCCCAATAGGTACTAGTACTGATTGTAACTTTATTAACAACCCTGGGAGGTACCTCATCCCCATTTTACAGAGGAAATTGAGGCTTAGAGAAGTGAAGTAACCTGCCCAAGATCACACAGCTAATACTAAGACTCAGTCTCAGATCTTAAGCACTAACTACATTTCCTCTCCAGGGAAACAAGGCCTCCCACTTTCCTGACATCATACCTATGAAAGACAAAGTGGTCTGGCACCTGCACTTATCACCTCTTCCTGACTCCTATCGCAAGCTAACCCATTCAACTTCGCAGTGCAGAAAGAACCCTGGATGTAGATAAACTTTGATTTTATCTCTTCTCATGATGGGGTTAATTTCTCTGTGCTGGTAAAGGATAAACAAACATTTATAATAATGAAGTACTGTGGAATCCCATCCATCCTTCATTTCATGCCCTTAAATGATGTTTTTAAAAGACAGTTCTTAACATAATAGGAATTTATGCCTCAATTTTTGGCCTCTGACTAAACATCTAAATGTGCATCTGGTTAACACTGTTTGTAGTTGGATGGTAGGATTGCAGGTGATTTTGGTTTATTTCCTTTACTTCCCAGTGTTTATCAGGTTGTGAGCACTGAGTATAGACTATTCTTTCAATTAAAAAACAAAGTTCATTTTAATCAAAAGAAAATGTTTACGTATGTAACTGTTTATCGTCCCCTCCTCAAATTATTTTTCCCTTAGTATCGAAAAAGAAGATACTCCTTGACCCAATTTAATCCTGGGCCTGGTTAGAAAAAAACTTAAAACAAGAGATATGGGTTCTTTTACCAATGGTTCCCACTTTTATGTTATCTGTTCTTTTTCCCGCTACTTAAAAAACTGAAAAAAATTCCATAAAACTAGATTTTTAACTACAGCTCATCTTTTCCTTCCCACAGGACTACTTAGTAAAATCCTCTGCACTCAATAAAGAAATATGGTTATACATGGTTTGTGTAAACCATACATAAGTATGGTCTTGTGTCAAACTGTTAACAACACACACCTCCTCTTCTGGGCACACGCTGGTCCACGTTCCCAGCCTCCTGTGCAGCTCAATGTGGCCATCAGAAAAGGAGTGATATGACCACATCCAGGCCTGCCCTATTAAAAGCTCCCAGGGGAGAAATTTCATGCTCTTCCACTGCACTCTTGGAAACCACATGTTAATGATGATGGAGCCACAAAATGGAAGGAACCTGGGTCTCAGAATCTCCACCCGGAAGAGCATCTCAGGAACACCATTTTGGACTCACGTGCATAAGGATTAGAAGTGTATTACGAGGTGGGAAGTCAGTGGGTTCTGCTTGCTTGTCCAGAGTTCTTTCAGAGTAACTCAAGCGGTAGATGTTTACAGTGCGAAGAATATTTTTTAAGTTAAAGAAGTCAGTCTTCTGGTTCTAAGGTGCCATCTCTTAAAAATGCAGGGAAAGAAAAATAAACTGGAAAAAATGAAGAGCTCAATTAAGCAAGATGTTACGTTTACCAACTTTCTCTTTTAAGAACTGTGAGGTCGATAAAGCCTTTCTCATATGAAAAAAAAAGTGTATCATGTAAGCGACTGAAAATGTAGGGCTTCTCCATTAACTCACCTAGCACCCAGCTTTATCAACATACTCCAGTTACTACTGCAGAAGGGCAAGACTGCTGCTTATCTCACCTTTTTCAAAGACTCCTTCTGCTTCCAGCACAGAGATGGTGAGGCTGGCCGACATCTTGACCAGCTCCACCTTCACAGTGATCTGTGAGGGGCTGTGTTCCAGAAGCTCCACCCCAACAGTCACATTTCTTCCAGGCCTGATGATCCCTGGGGCTGTCACCAGAAACTTGGGCCTAAAGGAGGGGAAAACAAAGTTTCTTAGCCGCACATCTCTGTTCTTTCAAGATCCTCAACTCTCACAGATAGTGAGACAGTCTCCCTGTACTGTGCCAACTGCAACTGTTCCAATTACTGTTGCCCCACTGCTCCATTTAGCAATGGCACTGACACGCTATGATGACAGTAACACCCATAATCAATTTTTATCCAGCTTTATTGATATAATTGACATGCAGCACCATGTAAGTTTAAAGTGTACAGAGAAGGATATGACTTACATAACATCATGATTATCCTAAGTTTAACGAATATCCATAATCTCATTTAGATACAAAATTAAAGAAATAGAAAAAACATAGTTTTTCCTTAAGATCAAAACTCTAAGGATTTACTCTTAACTTTCATATATGACATGCAGCAGTGTTAGTTGTACTTATCATGCTGTACACTCTCATAAATCAATTTTAATGCAGTAATTCATGCACCACTAGGGGATGGTTGTGTTATAATTTCCATTTTATAAACTACAAACAGCACAGGACAGCTTACCTTGGGACACGCAGAAGTTACCGTCAAAGTATAAGCCTCTAAACTCCTTTACAGAAGGTCTCATCCAGCGTGGCTTTTTTTTTTTTTCTTGGCTTAAACACACACACACACATTTTGCCTGTTTCTTATTCAAATCTTCATGCTTTGGCATCTACTCAAGAAAACACCACTTAACCAACACCACTGATTAAAGTATACCATCTGAAATTCAACTATCCTTGGTGACTTTACCAGGTGCAGAGCATAAAAATCGCTAAAAAAGCACTTTCTCTGCCAGAGCTAGGGGTTAGGGCTCAAGAGCAAAAACCTTTGTGGAGGTAGGGGGCTAGGGGGGCCGACAGGGGCTTTCTATTACTTGGGTGTCTCACGAGTTAACTTCCTACAATGTCTGTACCTGAACCCATGCTTCAATCATCTCGGCCACAGCTTGCCAATGCCAAAGTTGGGATATCTCGTTTAGGGGGGGAAAAAGTCTTCGAAAGAAAAAGGCACGTTATTTGGAAGGAAAAGCTGAGAAAAATGCAGAGGCAACATGGACTAAAAGTGTAACTACAGTCTTTAGAAAGCAGTTATGGGCAGAGACCTTTCAGCAACCTCCTGGGTAGAGAAAGCAACTGTCCCATGGGACACCGAGATCAAGCAACAGACGACCAAACCTCCTGGCCAGGGTCTGGCTGGGGATCACCTCCTGTGCCCCCAACCCCATGCACTCCTACCCGAGGGCGGCGGCCAGCTCTGAGCTCCATAAGCAGAAAAGGTGGATCCAGCATCTCGGCAGCCTGTGCCCAGGGACTGTGGGCTCCAACCTCCTCTGAAATTTCTCCCAACTCTGGAGTTTAGCAATCTGCACTGGGCACACCCCGGAGCCCAGCAGAGGGAAGGATCTAAATTTTGCTGGAATTTGGTAGCTCCATCCCTCCCAATCCATCACAATGGTGCTCCTTGCTGCCCTGGCAAACATCTCAAACCCGGGGCAGGCCGAGTGTGGTCAGCCCACCCTGGCCCCGGCACCGGCCCCGGCCCGGGCATCCCTGCTCCCTGAGGAGAACACAGGGCACCCTGGCCCACCGAGCTTCTGGGGCTGTTTACATTAACGCTCCACCAACGGTGCTTAGTGTGTACAAACAGGCCCATCCTTGCGTGGAGAAATTCATAGCACTTATGTGAGGTGGAAAAAAATCAGTCATTGTCCTCCAGACTATGAGTAAGAATTTTAGAGAAAAGGTGAGTGTGCATGCATGCTCACTCACACACACAGGTCGTTGTTTAATGGATATGAATAGGCACAAAGGAAAACTTTTTTCCTTGAGACAAAAAGTATGGATTATATCCAAGAAAATGTGGTTTCTCAGCTTTAAAAACAAAAGGGAGAAAAGAATTCTGGCACACGTGGAAGTTAGGTGTCACCCCTTGGATCTCTGAGAAACAACTATGTGGGAAGACACTCCATACTCTGGGCTGTCTCTAAGCACATCTGCTACATGAAGAATTTTACAGCACCGCAAGGCTTGGAGCAATTCGTATCAACCCTGTTAGGACCAGGGTGGCTCTCCTGTCCCCAGGAGGGCCAGTGGCCCAGGGTGCCCGGCAGTGGCTGGCCCCAGCTCCTGCAGTCTGGCTTGTGTGCAGCTCCTTTTCAGCTCCTTGGCACTGTCACCATCTTCAGGTGACTCAGGTTCCACCATGACTACACCATAAAAGCCGGGAACTGACAAAAAATGTCAGGAAACAGGCACATTCAGTCCCTGACAAAGTAACGTTTCTAATTTTCATGGAGAAAATGTTTAGATGGTGACATTTTGATACGGGGCAAAATGCAAAAGGGAAAGAGGTCAGCAAAGAGTCGTCTCAGTGGCAGAGCTATGGGCTAAATGGGGGGAAGCAGCACCTAGACACGGTGTGGTTTTGGCGTCCAGGAACTGCCTTCCTTCCTTTCCTGTGCCACCCTTTCTCACCCTGCTGAGCAGCCTGCAGAGGTCCCTGTGTCCTCCTGTCTCCTGCAAGCACCTATTTTAGTGGCCGCCTTCCTGTGCAGGCAGGGCTCGGGTAAACTGAAAGGGCAGGAGTGGGCACAGGACCTTGGTACAGACCCTGTCCCTGACACAGCTGTTACTGCTTGGCCTGGCCGCCTCACCGCTGTTGTTCAAGGTCCAGTGTGGGCTGTGTCAGGGGCTAAATCAGCGCTTCTCAAGCTCTGTGTGCATGAGAATCACAGTGAAATGCAGATGCGGATCCAGCAGGTCTGGAGGAGGGACTGGAGTTCTGCTTTGTTTCCATGTACAGTGGGCCGTAGAGGGTCTAGAGGCAATTTGGGGGGCACTCTGATGAGAAAAGAAGTTGGACTTAAAGTTTTACTTCATAAGATGGATTGGTAAATCCAGGCATATTCTAGAAGCAGGCAAATTTAAGAGGGACTCCCAAAGATGGCTGATAATGCTGCATTCCAAAGAGACTTCTAGAAAGGTTTACAAAATCCTAGTCATTTTATACAATTCAATCTAGGTAGA